CCCCCCCCGGTTCCCCTCCCGGTGCCGGTTCCCCTCACGCCTCCTTGATGTCGCCGTCGCTGGCGCCGCGGCCCAGCTCCAACACGGCGTAGTAGTCCTGCCCCATGGCGGCCGCGCGTCGCTATGGACACCGTCTCCCTGGTAACGGGAGTCGCTTCCGCCGCGCGGGGCGCGCTGGGAGTTGTAGTTCACCGCCCCTCCCCGCACTTCCGGACTCTGGAAAGCTGTTTGTTTTGGGGAGAAAAAGAGGAGGAAAGGCCAAAAGATGCAACCGCGGGAGTGGGGGTGATAAATAGAGCACCAAGCGGAGCCACGGCCAAAAAGGGCCTGCCGGGACTAAAAACAAATCAATTACCACCCCCACCCCTCAAMCAAAAAACAGGCCCAGGCCACTATTAACATTAAGCCCTGATTAACTAAGCACGCTCAGCATTAGTTTTAGTGGGAGATGGGACCCTTCCCCTCCCCCCTCAGGCCACGCAGGGAGTCACAGACACCAGTTCAGTCCAATCCTTGTTTCAGGGTTAACAGAGTTTGCTTTTTTATTGATTTTTTATTTAAAATTATTTTTTTTCTTCCACAACACACCCCTCTCTGCCGCAAGCTCTTCCCACAGCCATTCCTTTATTTCCACTGCAGGCCCCTATCCTCCAGCTCCCCCTCCTCCTCAACATCAATTTTTCCTCTTTTTCCCCCAGAAASAGCAGTGAGAAACAGAACAAAGAAAAGCACAACAACACAACAGCTCCCGACGCCCCAGAGCCACTTACTCCAGGGAAGGAAAAATTATGTTTTCTGTATAATTATCATCTAAATTGTGTTGCAATAAGAAAGAGCAGTCCTGCCCTCAACCTTTAAACAGAGCCTGGTCATTACGACCCCGTGGATGTTTCTACACACACATCTCAAACAAGCTGTATGGGAAAARGAGCGTGGAAGCATCCGGCTGCTGCTGCTCCTCTTGGATATTCGGTGGATCCAAGTTTTTAAAGGTCGGAGAGTTGGTACCTCCTCACCACGCCRTCCCGGCAGCACGTGTAAATCTGCTTCTCCCAAGCAGCCACCTAAAAAGGGGGACAATTAAAGTGGATTGAGGCACATTCCCTGTCCTGTGGCCATTACTAGGAAAGGAAACRGGCTTGCAGTTTCTCAAAGGAAAATCGGGTCCAGAGAAACCACAAGTCTTCAAGTTTTCCCTCTCACAATAACCCACTTCCATAAATCACAATCTGGCAGCATCAAACTAAGCCTGGGCCTTAAGACAAATCTACAGARATCAGAAACTCCGTGCACTCGTCTCCTCCAGAGAATATCAGCATCTCCTAAAGTTCACAAGTTTTCCAGAAAATTAGCAAGTTTTAAAGGACAACTCARATTTTCACCGTGCTCTCAAAGGCAGGTAGAGTGTGCACTGAACAGAGGGTTTATTTTAAATATTTGAGCAAATATTTTAAATATTGGCTTGTGTATCACTGTTGTGGGAAGTTCAGTTTTAACAATGAGCCTYGCCCCGAGGCTGAGGGGGTGGTGTTGGTGCTGCACTGTGGTGCTGGTTAAAAACAAGAGTTGATTTTCCCCAGCTTCTCATGGGTCTCTACGTGTTCAGAGTTTCTGAAAAACCACAAAACTATTTTCTCGTCTCTGCTGTTGTTACTCRGAGGACGGGCTAAGCACAGATTAATTCTGGTCCCTGCCAGATCTGCTCCAACTATCAAGTTACTCAGCTCCTTCAGTTTTACTCCTGCCCAGGGGAGATTACACAGGGCAGAGATGCCAAAAGGATTTGTTTATGCAAAATAGCAGGATTTTCAATYGGAAAAAATCAGCTTACAAGTCAACACGACAGTCCTGTGGGCTGCCTGTTATCCAGCCTTGCTTTTCCTACGTCCTCCGAGCGGGCACATTCCTTACCTTGTACACGGGGTCGCAGTCTGCTTCGGTGAGATCGACGACGTAGTCGAGGTCTTGCTGGACGAGGAAGCAGGTTCCATCGCCTACGGAAGCGGAGGAGCAGGGAAGGAGCAGCGGTCAAGGAGCACAACAAGACACGGGCTCATTATTAAAGCAATCACATGGAGATGCTTGTTCAGAGACTACGGAGCCCCTGGAAAGGGGAAGCTGTGGGGATGCCAGGGAGACAGCAGGAAGGTGGGATGCACCTTGGAGGCCCTATTTTGGGGGAGTATCAATGTAAAAATGTGGGTGATACAACCTTGATGTCATTTATTTTTTTTGCCACTCCGTTGTGCCCTCTAATTGCCTGCACAGCCAAACACACCTTGTATGACAAAGCGGGCAAGAAACAAAGAGCAGAAAATTACTTGAAAGTTACCTTGGCTGGCAATAAATCCATCTTGGTACGGGAGCAGAGAAAGCACCGGTGCCCCGGATCTATGAATGACCTGGATTGGAGCACTAGGAAAAGCAGGAAAAAGAGAAAGGTATCACAGTCAGTAGCCAGAGATGGTCCCAATGTGTGAGAGAAGGATCACAAATATGGGGCTAAAAGATGCATAAGGAGAACACGTAAGATGTGGGAACTCAGTCCCCAGCTGGTGATCAGTCTGTCCCCTGCGAGCAGACACAAGTCAGCACTGGTTTCATGCAGAATCACAGACAGGATTAGCCCCTACCAAAACACAGAGGCCTATCCAACAGGAAAGACTTTTCCCAGGCTTTACACAAGCCTATTTGGCAGCGTGCAAAAGCACCAGCTGGATCCCTCTCGCCTTGGAGCACTAGATTTGACAGTAAAAACCAAGTTAGACCTGGCTCCTGCCCCCAGCAACTGCTCAGTTGCTCAATGCTCAAACAGTAAGAGCCTACAGAAACTCTCATGTTATAGAGGGGAGGAGATCAAGGGCCTGTGTGTACTATTACACACTTTAAAAATAAACATACATTAAAAAAAATAATAATATGAGAGGTAAGGCTATGCCAACAGCCCCCCAGCCACAAGTCACGACTGAAGAGTTATTCACTTGGAACCAGCACAGAATCTTTTAGCCCTTTAGGGAGAACAAGTCCTTTAAGGGAGAACTCTGCAACAACACCCCAGGGGCTCTCCAAAACCCAGCAAAGAGTCACAGTTCCAATGCTCCCAGCCTCTGGCACTCACTTTGTGTTCCTCATATCCAGCTGATAGATGTTCCCATCCTGAGTCCCAGCTAGCAGATAGGTACTCGAGAGGAACGTGCAGCAGTTAAACGCATCAGACCCAACAAAAAGAAACACCTGGGAATAGAGAAACAAACATAAATGCCAGATCCCTCACAGATCAGAACAAAGGAGTCACCAGAGGCCAAGGGAAAGGGACAATAATTTAGTAAGAATTACTCAGCAGAGCCATTTCCATGAATCAGGGCACCGACTGGCAAATCCAGAGCTGGATTAAAAGCCCTCGTGCTCCAGGATCACTCTTGCCAAGCCAGCACTGCTGGCACAATCAAGGAATTCCCTGGGTCTCCTCTGAGGAGAGAGGCACCCATGGTGACAGGCAGGGCAATATGAGTTCACACGAGTCTCCAGACACCATAAATGAGGGAGACGGATCCGTGTGACTGGCTGGTTCTGTTACAAAGACCAAAAGCTTTCCCCAGCTGAGCTTTTGCCACCTCACCCACCAATCTTTCCTCTCCCCAAACACCACAGCGAGCTGTTTTACGGCAGGAGCTCGTGTGCAGCAGCTGGCTGCACGGAAGGACCAAAGCAGCAGCTCTGCAGAGCAGACCTGCAGTTCCTGCGCCCACCATGACACCTACTGGTCAGTGCTTAAATAGCCTTAACGTGAGCCCAGATTAGCCAGGTCGGCTTTAATCCAATTTCCTGGCCCGCTGCTCCACATGAGTACCTGGATATCGGCCTGCCAAGAGAGGAGCTGCTGCACAGACCCTCGTGCCCTCCTTACCGGCTGCCTGCTCTGCAGTCCCACTCCCTGGAGCTTCTTGTCCTCGCGGGCCAACAGCAGGATCTTCCCTTCTGTCCCCACCTCCCGTTCACCTGGAAAGAGGACAACAGGGAATTCCATAAGCGGCGACACTCCAAACACCAGCGGGACAGGAGCCCATCAAGGTTCGCACCCAAGTCAGATGGCTGGGATCACTCCTGCTGGATAATCCAAAGCAGGAGGAATAATGAAGAGAGAGTTTCTTACTGGGAGTGTTCTCTGGCGTGCCCAGGTTGATGGAGTTGTCAGCAGCGCCCACGGCGATGCCGTTGAGGGCAGCGCCGCAGTCGGCGACGATGCCCAGACAGGCCGACTTGCCGCAGTCCCAGAGCCGGGCGGTGCCGTCTCTGGAGCAGGAAAGGACATTTCTGCCCCGATCCACGATGGCCGTGTCCAAAATACCTGCGAGGAGGCAGAGGATGCACTCAGAGCGCGGCGAGGGCAGCAGTGACAAGGTGGAGAACAGCATCTCACACATCCACAGTTCCCATGGCTGCCACCGAGCTCCTACCTCCTTGATTAACCTTGGGAAGAGAAGAGTCTGGCCCAACATTCCTGCGACATTTCCAGCTCTGCAAAACCCCAGGGACAAGTAACATCCGCACTACCCAGCTACATAACAGCAAGAGAGCAGTCCCAGCACATGCTAAAGTCTCCCAGCTGCTTCATTTCACTAAGGGCAACTGTGGCTAGAGCTGAAAAATGATGCAGCATTCATAGGAACAGTCAGAGTTTGAAGATATAATTACCATCCTCCAGATATAGGCAGTAATTAAGCACAACGAGTTCAAATGAGAGGACAAGTCTGAAGCAAGCCCAAGCAAAACCCAAATGCAGCTATGTGCTGACTGCACAGTTTGGACTGGGGTGGSGCAAAGCAGATAAAGTCAAGCCCAMGGCCACGGGGAACCAGCCTGAGTCCTGACCAAAGCCCYGTTAGGCCGCCTGTCACTTTGTGCTGGAGAGATCTGTGTCAAGAGCACTTTGCATTTTTTGCAGCCATACACATTAAGACAACAGCAGGTTCAGTGCAAACCTGGTTTTCCAGTGAATTCAGTTTTGCACAGCCACAGGGTTTGCATTTGTAAGTGCTTTTCAGAAGCACCTCATGAGAGAGGGAAGAGCCTGGGCAGGTGGACAAGCTCCTTCCAAGCCCTCCTTCGAGGTTATTCACTTAAATAGCTTGCAGCTAATACACTACTACATGCTTTTCTGAACAGGAAAGACAAGACAGAGGCTTTGGGGCTGCTCAAGGTCAACAAGATGATCTGGGCATGAACAGTAGAGACTCCAAAGCAAGCCCAGCAAACTGTTATACACAGCAGGTAAAGCAGTTGAAAGGCTAAGAGCTCCATACCTCCTTTGTGGCCCTTGAAGGTCACCACACAGCTGGCATCTTCTGCAGACCAGATCTTTAGCTGGGCATCCATTCCCCCGCTGAGAACCACGAGGCCCGATGGGAAAAACCTGCAACAATTCACATCATACACATGGCCTTCCAAAAGTCTCTGGAAAAACAAAGAACTATGTGCTAGTTCCATGGTCATCATCCTCACAACAAGCAAGTTCTGAGCTGCATCACTGGAAAACTTAAGTGTTGCCAAGTGGATGGGTATCCCCTGGGTTTAAGCACCTGGAACGGACCAGTCTGTGACTTCTAGGCAGTCACTGTGTCACCAGGTACAGTGTGGGCCTTACTTTGCCATCTAAATTACTAATTACATGGCAGAGAGCATCACATCTCTCTCCAAGGGCAGGTTAAATATCCTCAGCATCTTATGAGCAAGCAGATGTCAGGCCCAGCTCCAAAAGAAACACCCTGACTGGGAAAGCAGTGGCCACCACGATGTGGTTAATCCAGCATGGGCAAGTGCCATTCTCCTCTCCTCTTCCCCACACAGGATAAACTCCTGGCTTGTTCCATGCAGGTCAGGAGGTTCCAGCCATCCTCCCTAACCATCTCCTCATGTTTTAACCCTGGGCCTCCTCCACAGACTCCTCAACATCATTTCCCTCAGGGAAACTGCATTTGCCAACAGCTGGAAGTTTTAAACCTCCAAAAAGTCAAAATTTCATTAGACTTTMATTAAAAAACATCACTGCCTGCCCTGCCTCACAGCACGCAGACAGTCTGATCAAAACCTCCAAAGCCAGACATGCTCTTACCCTTATTTCTCCATTTGCAGCCTGCCAGATTTTCATGGTGCCRTCCGTGCTGGTAGACACTCCGAGCCCTCCGCCACTGGAAATATCAAGGCACGTGACCTGCAGGGAAATAAAACCCACGACAGGTTTATTTGGCCTCTGTGCAAACGTTTCTGCTCTTAGCRGGGCTTCCTCCTGTGGAGGTATGCTCAAGTTCATCAATCAGCCCCACAGCCTCCTCAAAAACACTGCTGGATTTGCTGAAACACCTGCAGGAGTTTCCACATTCCTAGCTAAGCAATTTCTGGGGGATAATGTACTTCCCTTATAGTTACCATCCTTCTGCAAGGACTTCCTGGCTTCCCTCCATTAAATTTCCAAAAACCATACATTTTATGAGATATGAATTAAGCCTTCATGAATCCCCCACCTTCTTTTCCCCCAGGAAAGTGGCTCCTGAGCATCAGGCTTTTTCTAARGGACAAGAAAGCATAAAGATAAAAATCTGCTCAGTTTATTCCTTCCCACAGGAAGGAATTTTAGGAAAGAACATTATCCACATAATTCCTCYTCAAGGAGCAAGCTGCTGATCCGCAGCCAGAGCTCGGACAAGTGCAGGGTRACAGGAACCTGGAAGTAGCAGCCTGGGCTTTCTTGCAGTTGCCACTGCTTTGAATAATAATTYCCAGAGGAATTGTTATTCCAGAGAAATTGTCATTCTCTGCTTGTCGCTCTGCAGAGAATCTACAAAATCTTCCTCTCTGCAAAGCAGGGAGGCAGAAGCCTCTGCACAGAGGCCGTGTCGTTCAGGTTTATTCCAGCTGAGACAAAAATATGGATTTTTCCAGAAAATCCTGGGAGTTACAAACCTGAGCCAGGCTGTTCCACACTATAATGAAGATAAGCAGCCAGTTTGAGAGCACCCTGACTCACCATCACTGGGGCTGCTCACACAGCCAAGGGCACAGCCTGAAGCTCCTGAAAAGCCCAATTCAAACTAGCTTTTTACACAGGCAGGTTGACTCCTCGCACAGTCCATCACACCAAGGTATTAAACAACCACCTGCTCCACATAAACACTTGGGAGGTGGGAATGTTTTGGAAGAGATCAGATAGGGAGCTTAGGAAGAGGTCACCTTTCCCATGACACGAGACATTTTTGCTGCGGGAAGGCACCAGCATTTCAGCTTTGAGTGAAATAAGAGGCATATTCTAGTGAGACAACAGACCTGAGTGATGGAGACATCTGTAATACGGATATTTGTGAGTTTTTTCCCCTATTATTTTTTATTATTTTGTTATTTATGTATTTATTGTTAAGTATAAGGTAGCTGTTAAGTCATTACAGCAGTCCTAGAATAAAAAAGATCATTTTTATTTTAAAGAAGAAAAATGATCATTTTTATCTTGATCATAGGAGAAAGCCTCAGTGTCATTTTTCACAACCACCAACCCTCTCCATGGTAACATGCTCCTTAGCAAGCAGATAAAACATAAAATAAATCAAAGGCTGCAGGACATTTGAGCAGGTATCAAAGGGAAAAAAAAGCACACACCGATGTGTGACATATCCACAAGCTTTCCACAGGGACAGGAAGCCAAAATGTGGCCTCGTTTCCCCTTGGAATGCGTGGAAAGATGTGTCAAAACACACCTGGATTTACACAGCGCTGAGCTTCATTAACAGACACTKAAGTTTTTAGGTTTGATAGCATTTTCTGCCAGGTTTACACAGCAAATATCTCCAGAAGCTTGCACTCGGATGTGCTGTGTGGATGCACTGCATCATAGTGCAGTTTCCTGGAGTTTTTCCATGCAGGGTGAGGTGTGCAGCAAAAACATGGATTACTTTCCAGCAGAACCAAGCCGTGCACTCCTCTTCAGGGCCAAAATGAAGCTCCAGAAGAGAGCCAGCCTCTCCCTGACACTGCTCAGTGAGGAGAAGGACTGGTTTTGAGCCCACACCAGCGAGCTGGACAGCACTAAGCAAGTTATCCAGCAAAATAACACTGGTTTTAAGTGAAAAAAAGAATAAAATTACTTGCACTATTTTTAATTTAATACAAGCCAGGCCTTTCCTTGTCTCAAGTTCCCAGATCAATTCACATATTCAATTCTTGGCTCCTCTACTGACTCTCTGAGAACAGAATTCGGTGCCACAGTCATATTGAAAAATATCAAATAACTTCAATATATTAAGGCAAACAGTCACTATAAGTCTAAGGTAAAGCTGAATCAGYCAGAGATGAAGAGCCTGACACCTGAAACTGCTGATTCTTGTATTTCCTCTCCCCCTTTAACCCAATTTATTCCTTTAGAATGGGATCTGTTGCAAGTCTCAAGTGAGTAAAAATGTGAGAAAGAGTGAAGAACTAAGTGAGCAGAAGAGGACAGGTTTGGGAAAGGGTTTTACAGGATGACAGGACACTCCAAGCCCTCAAAACACCACCTAATTCTAGCCATTTCCTAGGTTTCTGTAGGAAACCATCCTGCAAGGGCATTTACTTAAACATGYCCACAGCCATCAGCCACACTGTGGAATTCCAGTCATTTCCAGCCGCTTCCCTCCCTGCCCGCAAAGTCACTCACGCTTTTCTGATGAATCCTACAAAAGGTTGTGTACGGCGCCAAGAACTTTGTGGACACATTTTCGTGAGGACAAGAAATGAGAATGCTTTTCTAGAGGAACAAAACCAGAACAGAAACAGAAGTGTTATTAGTTCTAGCAAAACACTCTGGTTTAAAACATGTCTTTTAGGTAAATATACTCGAAAAGGGGCAGAGGCAGCGCTCTTGGAGGGCTAGTTTTGCCTTCAATGACTTGCCATGCAAAGGATGGATAATTATTTCTGTGAGAACTGTCCAAAAGGAGTTCTCAGGTTCGCCGAGCGTCCTGCCAAGACAAAATAAACTAAAGTAGGTCCCGCTATAGAGAATAGGGATCCCAGGGAYGAGCGGCAGCCAAACCGGCGCTCGGAAGGGCTCTGTCCTCCCCAGCTCCAGCCCCGGGGGACCCGCCTGTCCCATCCCTCCCCRCTGAGCACCTTGGTGACGCCGCCAACGGCGAAGCCCTCGGAGGCGGCGATGTCGGGGAGCCCCTCGGCGCTGAGCCCGCGGCGCGTGAGGCTGCCGTAGAGCGTGGGCTTCCCTGCGGGAACGGCGCCCGTGAGCCGCGTCGCCCTCGGCCCTTCCCTGTTTTCCTGATGGATCCATAACCTTCCTCAGCTTCCCCTTGCCCATATCGCCCCCAGCCCTTCCCCGCTCTCCCACTGGATCCGTAGCCTTCCTCAGCTTCCCCTTGCCCCCATCTCCCTCGGCTCTTCACAATTTTCCTGATAGATCCATAACCTTCTTCAGCTTCCCCTTGTCGCCATTCCCCTCRGCCCTTCCCGATTTTCCCAGTGGATCCATAACTTTCCTTATCTTCCCTTTGCCCACATCTCCCTTGGCCCTTCCCAATTCTCCCCGTGTATCCGTAACTTTCCTTGTCTTCCCTTTGCCTGCATCTCCCTCAGCCCTTCTCAGTGCTCCTGGTGAATGTGAAACCTTCCTTGGCTTCCCTTCCCTTTGGCCACAGTTTCCTTGGCCCTTCCCATTCTCCAGGTGGATCCATAACCTTTCTCAGCTCCATCTTGTCCCCTCTCCCTCAGCCCTTCTCAATTCTCCCAGTGTATCCCTAACCTTCCTCGGCTTCCTCTTGCCCATTGGACCCCTGAAGCCCCCCTAACCCCAGTCCCTGACAGGCCCCTGTTTCCTCCCTGCCAAAACATGGAACCAGCTCCAGKTTTTTTTTTCCAGGAGTCCCTCCCTCCTCCCCACAATCTTCAGTGCTTCCCACCCCCTTCCTGAGTCCCTGGGCTCCCCCAAGGGACTCCCCCCCCCCAGCTCCCAACTGGAGCTCCCAGGTCCCCAGAGCCTCCTCCAGGGTTTCCCAGCCCTGCTCCTGATTTGGGGTCACTCACCCCAACCCTGCCCCAAAGACCCACCCCCAGGGTCACCCACCCCCCAACTACTCTTAATTCCCC